CACCTCTCACAGATGGGGGCTGCTGTCACGGAGCAGCCTCTGTCCATGACAAGCCCAGGCGAACCGCGAACAGAGGCTGCTTCACAGCAGCCTCCCGTGCTCCCCACAAGACAGCTTATAGAGGCAGCTGGCGGTATTGGCTCCTGCCTGCCCTCTCCTATTGCCTCTGTTGGGGGAGGGAAAGGCAGGTCGTTGGAGTGGCACACACAGTGAGCTGGCTTAAAAGCTGCCTCCCTGTGCGTATTGGCTCCCGACTATCCCACTCACCCTCTGCACTGCTGCTTCTCTAGCAGAGGCAGCAGCATGTGAATGGAGGGGCAGTTGGATCTAGTGCTCATGGGGAGCCTCCTATACAGAGGCAGCAGGGGAGGGTAGAACGCGTGTAGTTGACAGGATTAACCGATAAACCCAGTTTTATCTATATGTTGACATCCCTACTTCAATGTATATGTTTAATGACAAAACTAACATACTTTTTGCATGGCATACTAGAGAAATGCCTCTTACATTTGCATCAAACAGTGGATACTGCACACAGAAGTAATACCCTTTTTTTAGGAAGGCATTTTATTAAGAGCTGAACAGATTCTTTTCTCTCATTCCTCTTATGGTGAAGTGTGAACACAGACACATTCCCCATTTAAAGAATAGCCATCATGAAAGGAATTCTTCTAGCTTAATTTTCCCACTCCAAAGTCTAATACCAATTTATCATAATTCTGTGATAACTCTGACAATGATGGTGCCTTGAATCAGCACATTCACCTATCCAGAATAAAACATCCCCTGTAGATTTCATTTGTCAAATAAACTTAACTCACACATCTCCAGCTTTTTTGTAGAAAGGAACTGCAAGAAGGCACAGTCAATGTCAAACCTAGAAATGTACTAATTTCTCCTCCATCTCTAGCCACCCACAAAGAATATTTCAAAGATTCACTAAAAACACAAATACTCTTAAAACACAAAATGCTTTAATGATAATAATTATGGATGGCCAAAGCTATATGAGTAAACAATACTTCACACATTGACTCCCATCCGGAAACAAAAACCCTGTCTATTTCCCTATCAAAAAAAGGGAAAGTGTGTGTGTTGGGGGGGGAGGGAGAGAAGCAGGGGGATTATAAGTGGAAGCCATCTGGCAGCTAGATTATGTATATAAATATAATGTGAACTTTTGGCTTTTTGACTCTAGGAAAAAAACGCATCAACCCACACAGCATCTGTGCTTATAATATAATTTGTTCTCCTCTGCACCTCCTCCTCTTCCTCCTCCTCTGAATTTGAAGATTTCCAGATCAACTTTCTTTGTATCTATTGACTTGAATATGGTGCACTCTACTGTTACACAGAAGTTATTTTAATTTAGTACGTTAAAAAATTCTCAGTCATGCTTCTTCCTGCTCATCAAAACAACATGCAAATTTTAAATCTATGCCCCAAAGAAAAAAAAATTATCAATTTTTCTACTATTTTATACGCACAGGCTATGTTTATTCTATTAGCTAGGGCTGTGATTCCCTTCTCCATGTATACAGCTGGCTCAAGCCCTTATAGTAGTGTAGCTTTTATGGCATAAGTAGCAAAGATACAGCTGAGCCTTACCAAGTACAAACCCACCTGAAATCAGAGGGTCTGTATACAGCATGGCTCAGTCACCCATGCTGCCACAGATGCACTGCTTATAACCACACTAGCTGGTTAAAAGCAGCGTTAGTAAGTGTACACAGG